TCCGAACAGCGGGTCCCTTGCATCACATTCACCCCTAAGGACATGCTAATCAAAAGCACTTCTCACGATTGACCCTTGTACTTAACTGGGTACATCGGTTCTTCCAGAGTGGATCAAATTCAATTTGACCCAGGATCCACGCTAAGCATTGTCCCCTTGAAGCTTATGCAATACTTGGGGGTCCCCCAGAAGTGTCTTTCCATGACAACTATGACCATCTTCGGGTTTAACACCACTGGGATGAGGCCGCTCGGCAAGATCCGCCTAAAGTGCCGTATAGGCGACATGAAGACGGAGGTCACCTGCTACGTCATCGATGCTGAGCCTTCCTACAACATGCTGTTGGGACGACCATGAATCCACAACAACCGTATTGTCCCATCCACATTGAACCAATGTCTAAAATACGTAGATAACTACGATCAGGTGAAGACAGTAGTTGCCGACAAACAACCCTTCAAAGGAGTCGAGAACTACTTCACGGATTCCCTGCTTTACCAAGATTCTAACAAACCACCAATCGAGGAATTCGAGAGTGGTAATGAAGCAGATAGTGAACCCGAATATGGGGAGAGCCTTGTCCTGAACGATTTCGAATCAATTGTAATCAGCTACGAAAGCCACAATGTAACCGACGCTGTCCAGGCGGAGGAGATTATCTTAAATGAGAAGTTCAACTTTGTTTACTTGTCACCTTGCCCGACATTTGATGATGACCTACTTAACGACCCGATGGCAAGGCTCTACAGTGACCCATCTCTACACTTTCCTGTATACTCGTCGTATCTCGCAAAGAGGCAAACGATTGAGTCTTCACAAGCTGTATTCGTCGTGCCCGCCCGAGATAGTTATTAAAAGGACATTATCTTCGGGAGAGTTGATCACCCTTTATGCACGTTGTGGGATGAATCCGAAGGAGAGGAGTTCGTGCCCCAATTTTTACAATACAGTCAAGTGGCGAAACGCATGATGAGGGACATGGGTTACGACCTCGCTCGCCAAGCTGGACTGAATTATAGCAAAGGACGAAAGACGGTCATCCGACCCACCTACGTACCTAAAGGTAAACCCTTGAACTACTTCACTAAGACTTGAAGAGGCTTAGGTTACATTTCCCCCTCGTCGGAATTGTTTTGCAATATCGGAGAGGACTCCGGTGATGCCCGCTCCGAGGATCGATCATCGACATCCTTAGCATGGGACTCAGACGTCAGCATGGGAGACTTGTTCAACAACCTCAGAGTCAACATGGTTGCGACCGATCTCACCAAAATGGTAGAGGATGGGCAAGCCCGCTTTATGATGAGACATGGGACCGCCACGTCAACGCTCAGTAGAGTAGTCACTTCGAGCAGCGTGAACCGCCTACCGAGGACAAAATCCTCCAGGTAAACATGGGCGATGAGACCAACCCCAAGCCTATATTCGTCAGTGGTAGTCTACCTCCCCAAGAGAAGGAAGACCTCATAGCCCTCATACAGGAATATATTGATGTCTTCGCATGGAATTACGAGGACATACCTGGCGCAGAAGCTAGCCGAGACAGAAGAGATCGCTGCGAGGACTTCAGCCACCACCGAGGAGTCCATCAGAGCAGAACTTAGGCAAGCTTATGATGAGAAGTTTTCTAAGATCAGTCAGCAAATTTTTGGTCATGGTCTTGATGTATGATTTTGTTTGCTGAACACTTTGACTTTTGATTCTCTTAGTGAAAGCGATTTCGTCCACAAATTATGGAGGCGATCGAGGCCGAAGTGAAGAAGCTGATCAAATCCGGCTTCATCAGAGAGGAACAGCACCCCGACTGGGTAGCCAACATTGTTCCAGTCTGAAGAAGAATGGTAAGATCCGCATCTGCATTGACTTCAGAAACCTCAATGCCGCTTGCCCAAAGGACGAATTCCCTCTCCCCATCACGGACGTCATCATCAATAATACGTGCGGATTTAAGAGGATGTCCTTTATGGATGGGTTATCAGGGTATAATCAAATCAAGATGCACCCCGATGATGAAAAACACACCTCATTCAGGAATCCAATGGGGGTATACTGCTACACGGTCATGCCTTTCCGACTTAAAAACACCGGTGCAACCTATCAACACGCTATGAGCATGATTTTTCAAGACCATCTGTGAAAGACAATTGAATGCTATGTAGACGACCTGGTCGTGAAAAGTCGCAGCAAAGATGACCATCTCCAAGACCTATGAATGATGTTCGAACTCATGCGATCTCATCAACCCAAGATGAATCCTACGAAGTCATTCTTAGGGATGTCCAGTGGCAAATTCCTTGGGTTCGTAGTCACAACAAAGGGAATCCGAATCAACCCGGATAAGGTACGAGCTATCCAAGAGCTGCAGGCTCCTCGAAATCTCAAAGAATTAAGGGGTCTTCAGGGATGATTGGCTTACATCCAGAGGTTTATCTCAAATCTCTCGGGCAAATGTCAACCTTTCTCCAAACTGATGAAGAAAGGTATCTGTTCGCGTGGAAAACTGTTTTCTTTTTCATTGAGATAATTGTCATCTTGGATTACAAAGATCCGGTCGCTGAAATTCGTGCTCCTTTGACTCCACAATCCGGCAGCACCTCCTCGTCTTGATAATTAATCGCCCCCCGCTGAAAGGAGGCTTAGGTTTGTATTTATAGGGCTTCAGAAGCGGTTATTTGGATGAGAACAAGTGATTTGGCTCTATCTTCAGTTGACAACAGCCTAACCACGTTTGGGGATGATCTCAAGCCAGTTAAGAACCTCTGGAACTGAAAAGATCTCGAGAAAACCGTTAAAACCGTCGAAATACACATCAGGGGGTCAAAACAGCGCGGCAGACTGGTCTGACCCGCGCTTGCACGGGTCGGACCAGTCCGACCCGCACTTGCGCGGGGTTGATCCGTCCCGCGCTCACGCGGGTCGGTTTGTTCCGTCCCGCGCTCGCGCAGGTCAGTTTGTTCTGTCTTGCGCTCGCGCAGGTTTGTTGATTTTCTTCTTCTTTTCCGTTCTCTTTCTTTGAGACTTGTCCTTTCGCGTGTTTGGTTCGCTTCGTTGATTTATATGCTTTGAGTTGATTGACGCGTGCGTGTTGATTGACGCATGCAAGCTGATTGGCGCGCGCGAGCTGACTGTCAAGCGCGCAGGTCACATGATTCGCCGTTTTGCTTCAGGCGCTTGTCGGCGTCAGATAATCCTCTTAGACTCGGATAACAATGTTCGTCGTCTTCTCTCTGTCTCGAGCTGTGTGTGGATACCTATAGGCATTTTTAGACGCCTACAATATATATTTAATTGAATAAGCTATGAAATTTGTAAGAGCGTAAGAAACTAATTAAATTCTATTATCAATGATGATTTGTAATTAATTTAATTTAATTTTAAACTCATTGAGTGAGACTTTGAGATAAATAAAATACATAAAATAATTAAAGTAAAGTTAAAATTATCAAATTTGAGAGGGTTAAAAATAGCAATCAAAAGTTTTAGCATCTCAATCTTCTTTTATATGTGGTACACGTGCTTTGCATGAGAGTACACCTATTTTATTTTATATTTTTAAATTTTTTTGTTTGGTGCAAAATAATGAAATGACTTGAATAGCAGTATAAAATCTAAACAATTATAATTTTGTGTAAATAAATAAATTGTATGATAAAATTGTGTATAAAGAATTGTGCGATTAATTATTATTGTTTGAATAACTGTTATAATTTATTCATAATTCATTAAAATAATTATAATATATTAAATAATTTCTTCTCTTTTAAATATAATAATATTATACATAGCATAATTATAATACTATTATTAGCTACATTTTAATTTCATTTTAGTTTATTACACTATTAGTAAATAATTCACTAAATTATATAATTATTAAATTACAATGTAATTTATTAGTTTAAAAATATTATTAAAATCATTATACTATTAAAATTATAATAAGTACAAATTATTTTTCATACTATTATCGTACAAATTATTTTTCGTACTATTATCATACTTTTGAAAGGCTAATAAGATGAAAGGTAATAGATTGTCCTCCATAAAAGGTGAAACCCAAAGGCATAAGGCATAAGTCTAATAAATTTTTATTATTTTAATTTTTCTAGAATTTTAAATATTATGTGAAGATAAATAGGGATAAATTTCAAAATTTCTATTAAATAACATAATTAAATAATTAAATAATAAAATAATAATGTGACCAAAGATTTTGAAAAAGTGAGGAAATACATAATTAATAAGAGGTTATATATAATTAGTGAATGATTAATTACAACTAATGACATACTTGAGAATTATCACACTTAAAAGGGTAAAAATGAAAATCAAAAGTTTTGACAAGGCAATCCTCTTTTATATGTAGTATAAATATAGATATAGATATAGATTATGTCTATTCAGATCATTTACTGCACCCTTTTTTTCACAAAATAGAATTTTGACGAGTTGCTAATTTTTTTTAATAGTTTACAGGGATCGAACTTATAAAAAATGCATTTATAACTAACTTAAGACGACAATGAAAGTTATGAGTGCAATTCACTGGGTATGGTAAGTGATAGATTTAGAAAGAAGCTCGACTACCTACCTGCTAGATGATTAGCGGTTTTCATTAAAGGTATCGATCTCTCCAATACTTTTTTGAGGTGAAGAGGATCTGAATTCCTAAAGGGACATATATTCTTTTCAAAAATTTATAAAATCGTAATTTTTACCAAATCAGTGAAAATCGTACTGACCAGCATAAACAACAGGTTTCAACCACTGATAATTTGGAAAGCAACTCTCTTAAAGCACTCAGTAAGTGTACCTTAATCAGGATTATTTATCACCATCATCAAAGTAGAAAAAGCTTTAGTTATTGTAAGAGACCAAACATGCCACCAAGAAGAAGAAAAATGTATGCATCACAAGGTTTCTTTGTGAGCATCCATCATGATGATGACAACCAAGAAAAAGAACCATTTTCATCCCTGTACATTAACCCACTAGAAAAATGGATGCATCACAAAGTTTCTTTTTGTTTCTTCAATCATAAGAAAATGGATGAGTTACAAACACTAGTAACATTACAATCTTGATACCAGTATCCATCATGACGATGACAAGAAAAACAACAATCGCTACTCAAGCCAAGTACAAGAAAAAAAAAATAATAAAAAATTTCAAGCCCAATCTTGTTTTGACCTCCAAAACAAGGGTTAAAAAAGAGAGAGAGAAACTAAATTCAGATCTGTATATAAACAACAAATAGAAGGAAAGAAAAATAGCAATGCCGCATAAGTTTCTCCAACCCCAATGCGAGCCAAGAATGATATATGGTAACACACTTCTACAATCTATAAAATCCAAACAGATTCCTGCTATTCTCTAAAAGAGCAAATGTAACACCTACAAGCACATAAACACAAATTCCATTAGAAACAGACTGGCAAAGTCGTAAATGAGAAATTTTCCGAACTGAAAAGACATGGTGTATGAATCTGAAAATGGCAATACAAAATCTTATTTCCAACGAAAAGTTCCAATGGAAGCGATCATCAAACAAAAGGATGAATAACTTTATGATATAGTAATCGTTTTCATAATATCTTTATCAAACAAGAGATAACATCTTTCAATTTGAATGACTCTTCTTATGTAGTGATTGCATCGGGTCTTCGTTATGTGGATGAGCAGAAAATATATGGATTGGTCATAAGTATCAATACCAATGTAGTTGATATTAATAAACAAAGTTCTGCGCCCTTAAATTAATTCCCTCTAACCATTTGACCAAATTTTCCTAAGTTATGATGAGGGTCAAGGATTATAGTTTTACATTAATTCTAACATGCCCCTGCATGTTGAATGCCCTTTTTTCATGGGCTAAAACCTGGACTCATGCAGCGGTGTCAATTTTTAGAAAATCCGCTTTAAATCAGTGGCCGATGGAATTTGAATCTGGGTTGCTCTGATACCATCTTAAATTTAGTCCCTCTAATATTGCACCAAAACTCCAAAGTTATGGTGACGGTCGGGGATTATAGTTTTGTATTAATTCTAACATGCAAAAAAAATTTGAGATGGTCATAATGCTTATCCATTCATTGTTTGCAATTAGGGTCTGGAAGTTTCTACGAATAGGATCTATAAAATATCACAGGTTTTGCTTATTCCAAATATTGCATTATACAACTCTTTTACTTGAGTAAACTAGACAATTGCAAATCCTCTAAGGAGATTGGCTGCTTGGTTCTATACAAAAGCTCAGACTTGTATAATTGACAGTCACTGGTGACAGATGAACATGAAGTAAATAGTGTGCTAGAGTACTATGTAATATTCAGTGCCTTTAGATATAGCATCTCAAAATGAGACCAGTATCAATAACTAGAGATTATCATTCTAGTTCTTCCAAAATAGAGTAAACCAGATACAGTTGCCATAAAAAGCAATTTTTTTCTTGAAATAGTAACCCAGACACACTTTCCATAAAATGCTGGATACAGGAGTACAAAACTCGAATGTATCCTATTCAAAGAATCTAGACTCCTTAGATCTTACATAATCAGGCTCAGACCAAAGCAGACCTAATTATCGGTAGTTGCTATTGCTTGAATAAAGTTTGGGTTATATCAAAAGATTAAACTCCAACCTGCACCAATGAAAGCTAACTCAACAGGTTCAGATCAACTAAGTAAATGGGTTAAGTTCCAGCTTCAAACCCACATAATAGTTCAAATTCATACTAATTATACTACAATTGTTTATAATATACTATTCGATACCAGCTTGTTGCCACACGTGCAGACCAATACCATCATAGTTCTCAAGTTAAAAAGCATATTATAAGGTGTAAAAGAAACCAAATAAGGTAGCAACAGCATAAGGACAGTGATGATGCACTCGCTGATATAGTAAATGAACCTAAATAGGGGACAATGGGGATAACAATCAAAATGAAGTAACAGACCTACCTAAACGATCAGCAGCATGTGCCCCTTCAACGACGATGTAAAACAATAAATCTCCATACACTATATAAATCACATGTGCTCCAATAAATGATGTAGTTTTGGCACTCGCCGCCGAAATAATGGTTCCAGCCTGAAAGATGGAACGCCATTCATCCACCTTTTAGCATCATACATTTCATGCCAAGCCTGAACTATTTCTTCAATTTTGAAGCCCAAACCTGTAACGGGGAATTTTTTTATTAGCAATATGTAAACCGTTGCTTCAGAAAACCACTTAAGTAGTTAGTTACAGAATTGAACAGTGACTTCAAGCAGCACCTAAAGAATGGTACCAGACAATACTTAGATTACTGAACAGCTTTCTAAAGTCACATAGTAATCAAAATATTTCGCTGATTCCGTCCATATATCATATCAAAGCGTTCAGATGTATGCTCTTAGGACTATTGTCGGAAATATACTTATTTAAGCTTGAGCATATCCTCATGTATCCAACAGCCATTGATTTTTTTCATATCCAGGTTGCTCCTAGATGAATATGAATTTCTGTTACCACCAACAATGTAGATATCACCCTAGGACATTCTACTAAATTTGATGTTATGGTAAAAAAGAGTTCGGTAATTACTAGCATAACTACGAAGCGATATCTACTATTAAGAATCAGTTAAGAATCAATAATGGAAAATGTATTAGAAATTGCATTCATATCAATTGCATAATTCTGCTAGTGAAATGTACTCGAAAACAATCAATGCTGTTAATAATATGAACATTTGCATGAGACTGGTTCTTGGAGCCTATGAACGTTAGAACTAAGACTTAGCACACAGAGTCGACATTGATTTCAAAACAGGAATTTAAGTCAAAAGTTAACAGCAGCATGAACACCAATATCATAAATTGACATCTGCACAGAGCACACGTACATAACTATACGAGCAATGATGAAATTAGCCCTTGGTCTAGACCATGGAGAATTAGTCCATGGAAGTTACTACTTTCTTCTTATATACATGCAGACACAAACGTTAACTGTTAAAAAACTTTAAAAGAAATATTCTATTACCTTCTTGGGTAGTTTCATTGGCGATATGATTCTTTATCATAACAGCAAGATCAGTCGGTGAAGCTCCTGCAAGCTTAAACTTTTCCACAGCTGCCATAAGACAATCTTCCCATACTGGAAGCCCTAATTTGAACTCTACAACTGATCGTTCATAAAGCATAGCTCCCCACAAAAGATTTATCTGTGACCGCATGCTTGAAGCTTGTTCAGCAGCTTCATCATTAGATAGGTCTTTAAAAAGTGCATCCAAACCCATTTTCTCCAAAAGTAATTTCTCCTTATTGGGTTTGGAGAGATTCTTCAATCGCTCCTCCTCCATCTCCTCCCATATCTCGGTACCTCTCTCCATGTTATCCTCAGCATTATTGAAAAGCTCCGAAACTTCATTTGGTGACCAAGTATCTAAATCAACCTTGCTCCCAATAGCATAATACCATGAGAGCTTTGCTTGTTCAAATTGTTGTTGTCCAAGTGCAAGAAATCCTTCATAAAAGTCTGGCTTGATCTTTAAAGCCTCTTCGTATCTCTTTCCAGCTTTTATATACTCTCCTTGAGCCCATTCATAAGCTGACTTGACATTTTCAAGAATGGTATCTTTGGACGCACCTTCGGGTAAAAACAGCCTCTTTCTAGCCCGAGACATGTGGACATTTCCCCAGTTAAACAAGGCAAGAGCTGCCATCTCCTGAAACTTCACCTCAGCAGTGTCGAATATCTCCTGAGCTCCTTCGCTTGTAACTGCATCCTCCATAGCTTCGGAGTAAAGCTTCATTCCAAGCTCATGAAGATCTAGACAAGCATCAGAATTGAAACCCACATGGTTCTTGAACACTTCAGCAAACTGAATGATCCAATTATCGATACAAGTTGCAGTGGCACTCTCCTGATCATGTTTTACGCTCCCATTTTCAGAGAAACCGTTCAAATTCCTCTCTGACCCTTGCATTTCAGATCCTTTGCTTGCTTCCTCAAACAATGGCTCATGCTCTGGATCAACTTCTGCAATATAAAGCCTAACAGAACCAAGAGGATCTCCAGACTCTTCAGCCCATCTCAGCTCTTCTGATGTAGTAATTGTCAACAAATCACCTTCCTTATCCTTAAACTTTATAAGCACAGACTTTAAGCTCGGAAATCTGTTCCTAACAATCTCCCTCAATTGTGCTACACTACAATTTGCGGGTATTTGAGCAAACCTTATATCCTCACCAAAGACCAGCTTCACACCCCTCATCGGTTCTTCTTCCTTCTTAACACCGTTATCATTACTATTATCACACTTCCTCACCTCCTCAATCACTTTCTCTTCTCCTTTACGACTTTTCTTTTTCCTATTTTTCTCCTTAACCACCTTTTCCCTGACAATCGGAACCTGTGGAGGCAAAACAATTTCCTTATCATCTAACTTGATTCCCTTCTGCTCCATCTCTTTCTTGATTCTCTCTGAAATCTCCAAAGCCGTGAGATTATTTGACTCCAAGGCCAAGACTGAACTGACATCTCTAAAAGCCAACTCCCATTGATCCAAAAATTCATAACACCTCGCCCTCTTCAAAAGAGCTTTCGTGTACTTGGGGGAGAGTTCCAGGGCTAGATTACACTCATTGATTGCTTGTTGGTACTCTCCAGGACCCATTTGCATATAACAAGCAGCGAGATTGCTCCGTAGATAGGCGACATCAATATGATTCTGTGGGAGGAGCTTAATGGCCTTTTCGTATTTGAGAATGGCGCCTTCATAATCTCTCTTCTGAAATAACCTGTTGCCTTCTTCTCTAATGTCATGAGACATGTCGATAAAGATCGACGTGTCTTCATCGAACACCTTCGCGTTGTGATCGCTTGTTTTGGCACTGGACTGCTTCTTCTTCTTAGTTGTTGGCTTCCCCATTCCCTCCAATTCACAGACTAAAGACCGGAAATTTTCAATAACGATCTTAAGGGGATAATGGGTTTTCCTCGAATCGCCTAATCGAGCTGGAAAAACCCTAATTGCCAACAAAGGAACCTTCCTCTCCTTCACTAATTCAATCAGAACAGCTCAATAAGATCCCCCAGCTAAGAAAAAGTACAGGCAACCAATCCCACAGTAAAAGGGCACCCCTTTCCCTTCAATAATCAACAAAAACACCTACATAATATCCAAATATGACAACTTAACTTCAACTCAGAAAATGGGTTTTCTTAATATCTGAACCTACTTTTATTCCCCAAAAAATCCAATTTTTACGGGGGAAAAATCCAATTTTGAGCCAAAAAATAGCTGGCAAAACTAGGGAAAACTTACAGACGATCAAACGAAGCCGGCGACCCCTCAGATTAGCTCCTGATATTCCACTTAAATGAGAATAAAAAGGTTTTTTTTTTTAAAATTTGGGGGGAAATATATCACGCCAACGAGAAAAAACACAAAACCCTAAATCGGAAACTTTCCTCGTTCAACCAAAATCAATAATGATCACACGCAATCCAATCATTCCTTCCAAATTAGAGGCACCGATAAACTTAACGGCTCATAAACTGACACCTGGGACCCACTACGGGTGCAAAGATGGGTGCTCCGCTTGGTTTCTTTTCGACGGGAAGATTGGCCGGCAGAGGAACTCAAGTTGTGGGGGAGAACCAGTAGGATTATGCCACGTGTCCTTTGCCCGATGGGGTGTCACGTGTCAGAATTGGATTCCAAACTTGTGGGTCGAGAGAGGAGTAGCGACGAAGGAATAGAGAAAGCTTGAGAAACAAGTAAAATAAAATAAAAAAAATGGAAAAAAGAGTAAAGACAAAGGGAACGGTGTAGATTTTTTTTTCCTTTAGGCCTGTTCGTTTGCCTAAAAAAAAGAGGGAAATCAAAGAAATGAAAAACTATTAAAATGAAGAATTATTTTTGGAGTGTTTGGTTGGCTAAAAAAGAAGGAAATCAAAGAAATAAAATTGAAATGATGTTAGTTGTCACCTTATTATTGGATGATGTTTGTGATTTTTTAAGAAAACTAGTTTTGGAGTGTTCGGTTGGCGAAAAAAAATAAAGAAATGAATTATAAGAAACCTATTTCCTGTAGTTTCTTGTTTTCTTTTGTTCGGTTCATTCTTAAAAATAAGAAATGAAATGAGATGAGATGAGTTGTCATTGTATTATTGGTTGATGTGAAGAAAGATTAAGAAAAGTGTTTTCATAACTTTTTGGAATGAAAATGAAGAAATGAAATGTTAATGAGATGAGGTGAATTGTTATAATATTTTATTAGATGATGTGAGTGATTTGAAATGATGAGAAGAGATGAGTTGAGTGATGTTTGGATGAAAATAATATTTTATTAGATGTGATGGATGAGTTGTTAGATGAAAATAATATTTTATTAGATGTGATGGATGAGTGGTTAGATGAAAATCATATTTTATTAGATGATGTGGATGAGTTGTTGGATGGAAATAATATTTTATTGGATGTTGTGGGTGAGTTTTAGGGATGGAAATGGAGGAAATGGTGAGTTTTGAGATTTTCACCATTTCCATTTCCATTTCTTGGTTTTTAGAAAACAAACGAACAGGCCCTTATCGGAATTCACGAATATTTATTGCTATTTAAGGGGTTGTTTGGTTGTATGTTTTTACCATGTAAAAGGATGGAAAGTGTAAAAAAGTGGGTCCTAATGTCAGCTTTCATCACTTTCAATTGTTTGTTTGTAGTTGTGAAAATAGTGTAAAGTGATTTCATATGATGATGCGGCTTGTAAAGTGATTTCATAAAAAAAAGACATGATTTTAGGAAAAAGCTGACATTGAAGTCAGGAAAAAATAATAAAAAATAATTCCAACCAATATGATCATTTGAGTAGGGACTACTTTTTACATTTTCCAAACAAACAATTAAATTTACATTTACTAACCAAACAAGCAATTTATGATTCCAATGGAATAAAAAACAAACAAGGAAAAGTATAAAAGTAAAATTGATGAGGTGGATAACAACTTTCTAAGTTGTGTCATAAATACACAACTTTACCAACAACAACCAAACAGCCCCTAAACTTCTCTTGGAGTTTGACCGCGGAAAGAATATTTGTTGGGCGGTGGGAATATTCAGATATGCACCTAATTAATGAATCTTTTAAGGTGTATTTAAAGTATATAATGTCACTGATTATTTTTTAAGTATAAAAGTATAACCTAAATTTTGGAACGGTTTTTCTATAGAATGCCCATGAGCACTCTATAAAAGAGGAGAGGGATAGAAAAAAATAAATTATGCACAGAAATTAATGCAAATCAGGAGGAGCCCATGAGCTATTCATTTCTCTCTATCTCTCTCCTCTCTTATAGAGTGCCCATGGACACTCTATAGAAAAACTCATTTTGGAATATGACAACCTTTTTAAGGTTGAAGTGTAGGCCTACTATCTTTGGTCGGGAAATCCATATCTACAGTCCTTAAGGCCTCAAAGATTTTGAGTAAAAATCTTTGGGCACTTCTGCCCTACCTAAGTATAATATATTCACAGCCACCCCTTGTTGGTTTTGGAAGTGTGAAGACCGAAACCTGAAACAAATTCACGAGGCTAAAAAATCTCGGGTCGGTTGATCGACGGAGTGACCCTAGTCGAGCGAAGAGACTGCAGAAAACGAGCTCAAGAACACGTTCTGACCGGTCGATCGAAGTTGTGTCGATGGTGATGAACCGGTCGACCGAAAACGTGCACAAAGACCCTGTAAGAAACTATGTTCTGGCCGGTCGACCGGAATCGGTTTTTCCAGTTTCCTGATTCGTTTGAGAAACTGTTTTGGGTCAGGATGCTATATATACCTAAACGATTTTAGGGTTATATGCAACATAAAAAAGAGGGTTTTGAGATGATTCTTTCAGAGAGATCTCAGAGAGATAAAAATATATTTGTGGGCATTGTAATCTTCTTCAATTTATCAAAGATTTGTGTGGTGTGGCTCCCGAGGATGTAGGCACGATGCCGAACCTCGTTAAATTTGGTGTGTTCCTTCTTATTTATCTTTTTTGTAATTTTTCTTTTATTTACGGTGATTTTCCTACGTGCTAAACTCTTAGCACAATATCCGGAAGTAGGGGTGGTAAACGATCGAATCGAATCGAATACTAAGATGTTCGTATTTGTATTTGTTTAAAATTATCGAATTCGAATGTGGACTCTAAAATTCATATATCTAGTTTTTCGAATTCGAACTCGAATACTTGGTATTTGATAAATATTCATGAATATTCACGAATACTTATCGAATATCAAAGTATATTTATTCCGCTAAAGAATTTGGTTTTCAAATATTATTTGAATTCATAAATAAAATTTATTCCTTTATAATATATGATGTATATATATTTAATTCAAAATTTTAATTAGAAAACAGATTTAAGATTATTTAAGTCTTAAAATCAGGATATAAAGCTCAAGTAGAAATGATATGTAGGTTAAAAATATGACATCATATGTGCAATAATACAAGTAATATGATGTGATCAAATTTTAAACGAATATTTAATAGACAAACGAATCGAATATACAGTGAGAAAAAAGAGCATTTAGCTTCGGGCTCACCATGCAGCCATGAGATATCCTATTGTTTTAACTAAAACACTTGGAAAATTAATCCATAGCCCATTTCACCCTATATCTTCACATTAGTCCAACTGGATTATTTCTAATTCCACTCTCTTTCCTTCATCCAAATTTCTGTATATTTAATATTCAACCCATTTATAATTAAGTAAAAGAAACACTTATTGCCGTTATATACTAGCACGTTAAACACATTTGTAACTCGGACAACTTTAATTAGGATATAAGTGCCCAATTTTTAACATGTGAAAGTCATATGGAAATATATTCAAGAGATGTTGTGATGAATCATGATTGATTAATAGAAGGACGTAATGTGCTGCTTTTAAAAATAAATAAGATATTTAAATATCAAAAATAAAATGTAGGATATACTAATGCAAGGTGATGCAAAACTATAAGGTATTTAATCACTATTTAGCCTTAAATTAGATAAATTTATTTAATTAATTGACTACACCTACTTAATTATGTTGAGTACAACTGCTCCCGATTAAGAGAAATTAATATATAAAATTCATAAATAAATAGAATTGCTATTTCTATCAATACTGAAAATATTATAACTATAAGTTTATTATTAATCCCAATCATCATCTTTTTTTTATGTTTTTTAAGTTAATATATTGCATTCATGTCAACCTATCGCAGGTGAACCCATACGATTGGAAAAATATGACACCCACAGTCTTGGGTCTAATTCATGCCAGGTCATGAAAAGAAAGTTAATCGCATTTGTGTCGATCATAAAAAATATAAAATAAGTTGCATGTGTTTTCTAAACATTAAATCAAAGTCCGCTTCATTAACCCGTCCAAGTGAAAGAACATGAATAACCAAAGCTCAAGCGATACACCTAAAATTCGATTGTTGAAAATTAATTTATGATGGGGGGAAACCCCATTAAGTGATAGATTGTGCAGGAAAATGGCAAGCGAGAAAATAAAAAACCTTAATTGAATTGATACTTCCTTTAGAATGCGCAACGGTTACACTGCACGTGCAAGGAACGTGCTTTCTCTACTAGTCTAGCTAATAACCTGCATTTTTTTTCATGTGATGTGGATTTATTATGGAAAACGCTTTTTGGCTCGCGCTTTAAGCAAAGACAAAGGGGTGGGACCCACTATGCCAGTGGGGCCCACCCCTTGTTTCTGTGTGAGTTGGCTCGCGCGTTAAAGCGTGAGCCAAATAGCGATGTTGATTTATTATAGAGTAAATGAAATATATTTTTACACTGTTATTAAGGATTCCACATTCTTCTTTCTCACAATACAAAGTTAGCGTGTAAGGTTAGAATAAGGTTAACATTATCCTTTATCTCCTTTTACTTTTATCTTGTACTTTCATCAAAAAAGTTAGGGAAAAATGTGTCTGGGCCCCAAAAGCAGAAACTTCATGTGCTGCAGCACCTCCTAGTTTCCCCAAATAGTTCAGCCCCTTGAAGTGTAACATTTTGTGCTGCAGCCCCTTTTTAGCAATTATTACATGCCAGCTAAGCTAAAATCCCCAAAATATCCTTATCCCCTCTTCTCAATCCCTCAGACCCAGTACTCATATCATCTCTCATCTCCTCTCTCTCCCCTATCTCTCTCTAAAACCAAGGGCTTTCTCAAGCTCGTCGCTCTGGCCCTCGTCCTCCTCGACGTCGGCCCCCAAGCCTCCCATCGGGTTCGCCGCCGCCTCCCCTCCTCTCCTCTGCCCAACATTGTCGCCGTAGCTCACTGTCGCTCCCCGCCTCGCCCTCGACTACACCGAAATCCGCCGCTACCGCTCTCCGCCTCGCCCTCGAGTTCATCGCCGCCTCCTCCCCGCCCGACCTTCGAGTTCAGCCTTCCC